TATATATTATATTAAAAATATATATGATTAGAAAGGAAGTAAGTATTCCTTTCCCCTCCCAAACAGAGCAGCAACCACTGTTCTTATACACCTGTATGCATGCCCACACGCACATGCACACACACACACACATTTTGGATGGGATCATAGCAATTTGCCACATGCTTTTTTTAATTTAACAATATTGTGCCGACATCTCTCTGTGTCAGAACAAGCTAGCAAGGTCACTCTCTGTGAGTACTCCATGCGGCCCCGGCAGAAAGTCGGTGGACTGAACTCACTGAGCATCCTGGAACACTACTCTTGCATGTGTGTGTGTGTTCCTCTAGGAGATTTAATCCTACAAGCAAAGAAACCCATTTGGATACTGCTTTAATTATTCAGAGACGACATAATGAAAGCCAAAACGGGGCCGGGGAAGGAGAAGAGGGACAAATTTCCTTTTCCAAAATAACACGTGCTTCCTCTTGACAGTCTCCTGGGCCTCCCACACCCGTGTCAGTCTCTGGGCTGCCATAGATGGAAGATGCAGGGCCCAGCAGAGGGGTGGGCACTGTCTGTCGTGCGTGTTGGGCAACAAGGACGAGGAGGAAGGGGTCTGACCTGATGATTAAAGCAGCCGCTGAGCAGAAATGGGGCAGGATGAGAATGGGATGAGAATCCAGGGCCTACCTGTCCTGGGCAAGGCCTGAGCCAGCTGCCGCACGCGCTGACTCTGAGTTCCGCAGCAACCCCGTGCTTAGCCTGTCAGAGGGATCTGAGGTTCAGAAAGCTGGAGGGGCCTGTCTAGGCTCAGTGAGTCAGTGGCCACACTGGGCGTCTGACCAAAGCCTGACCGCAAGGCCCTGTGTGTGTGTGCAGTCTCTAGGCCGAGTCTCTTAGTTAATGATGCTGCCCAAGGACACCAGATGGGCCGATCTAGAGGCGCCAAGACCTGGAACTCAACTGGGGCAGGTGCTGGGGAGATGGACCCTGCCCTGGCACCAGTTAGAGGGAGTCCGGCCAGAAGGCTAGACAGTGGCAGGTGACAAGTGGTGTCTGATGAGTCCCTGCTGTCTGGGAACCCTTCTCCAAGGAGCCCGTGGCCCACATGCAGCAGGTTGGAGGCAGTGGCCAGGAGGCAGGCCACAGCCGCAGTCAGCAGGGGGCCCAGGAGGGAGTTGGGGGCTGAGCTCTGCTTCCTGGAAACTTGGGGGCCTGGCTTGGCCGAGGAGCCCCCACTCCCACATGCCAAGGCTCCGCAGCTTCAGGAGGGCCACCGGCCTCCAGGGCTTAGCAAACTCTGCCCGCCTCACTTCCCCCCCTTCCACCTCCTCCCCCTCTATCGACCTTCCTGGCCTCACATTTTGGGTGCTTCTTTTATATTTATATTTAAGAAATTCCCTTTTAAAAACTTTTTTATAAATAACAGTAGGGAATTTTTATTACAAAGCAAAGGCCATTAATGTAGCCCATCCATCTCCTATGCATACATGAAGGCAGACGTTAATTTTTTTCCCAAACTGAGATTACACCAATCATCCTTTTCAGGAAGCTGCTCCTAGCACTTCTCAGCATACTGTGCAGTTTCCCCGGATGGGGGCATCTGGCAGGATTGCATAGCACTTAAGAACACAGACTTGAGGACTAGCAGGCCTGAGTCTCAGACCCTCTCTCTGCCACTCATTAGTTTTGTGACTGAGCCAGTTACATGCCTCTCTGGACCTTGGTTTCCCCGTCAGTGCAATGAGGATGATGACAGGCTGGATGTGAGGCTCAGTGTGGGGACTAAGTGAGGGAAGGTCTAACCCAGAGCCCACTCGGTGCTCAGTGAGCACCAGATATTAGGACTATTGTTATTCCTAATCAAAGACAGAGCCCGGCAGCCTGGCCCCACCTCATACCCTAGATCTGGTAGATCCTGGCCCCACCTCATACCCTAGATCCTGTAGATCCCAGTCCTGACCTCAAGTCTTTATCTGGGTCTCCTGGGCCTACCGGATGTCTCTTCCTGCCCCCCGGGGTGGTCGGGGTAGCTGGGGCCTGGGCTCAGCTCCCAAGTAGCATTCACTGGGAGTTCTGAAGGTTCTTCTCCGGGTTCTCAGAGACATGAGGAAGGACAGGGATTAGAAAAGGGGAGAAGGAGAAGGCAGAGAAGTGGCTCGGAGTTAACCAGGCCCTGGAAACCTGGCCCCAGGGCCTTTCGAGTCTCTACTACTCATGAGCTCCCTCACCAGGGGTGCGAGCCCCAGGTCCCTCCTCATTGGCATCACAAGAAGACACATGGCCCCTGGGAGAGACCATTGGCATGACTGCTCTCCCATGGCCAGGAGAAGTGGAGGTTGAGTTATTTATTACCACCCCCTTAAGGAGTTGCTAAGACTCAAGGGCACAGCTTGGGGTTCACTCTGCTCATTGGCCTGCTGAATTCCAAGTGGAGGTGCAGATGTGGGGTGGAGGTCCCAGTGGGACTGGGGACCTGATTCTGAGCTCTGGGACCCACAGGAGATGAACAACTACCGGCGGGCCATGCAGAAGATGGCAGAGGACATCCTGTCGCTGCGGAAACACACCAGCATGCTGGAGGCCGAGAACCGCATGCTGAGGAGCCAGCTGACCCAGGAGGAGGGGGAAGAGGAGGAGGACAACGCCAACAAAGCCCAGAAGCTGGATGAGGGTATACGGGCCATTGAGAGCATCCGGGTGCCTGCCCGAGCCCAGGCTCTGGATTGCAGACCAGGGTGGTGGGGAGACTTTCCCAGCTGTGCCTGCTCCTGGACACTGGTGGGGTCCTCTCCGGGATGGGGAATGGAGACTCCAGTCCTGTCTCGATCCCCAGGACTGAGAGACACTTGTCCCTGCCCCCCCAGCTCTGCTGAGCTGGGAGATGCCTCTTCCCTGAGACAGCTCCCCCACCCCACCAGTGTCCATGAAGCAGAAACTGCTGCTGAGTGAGCTGGACCTGAAGAAACTGAGGGACAAAGTGCAGCATTTGCAGAATGAGCTGATTCGGGTGAGCTGGGGCTGGGGGGTGGGGGGCAGAGGGCAGGGGGAGCAGAGAGGAAGGGAGCTGGGGGGGGTCCAGAGCAGCGTCTGGGAGCAGAAGGGAGAGAGGCGCGGAGGGACGGGGACACTGCAGTGGGAGGCTCAGCAGAGGGGCCAAGGGTAACCCCGGGCACCCCTTCTTTCCCCACCCCCTTCCCTCCGCCACCATCAGAAGAATGATCGAGAGAAGGAGCTGCTCCTCCTGCACCAGGCTCAGCAGCCACAAGCAGCACTGCTGAAGCGGTATCAGGACAAGCTGCAGAAGATGAAGGCGCTGGAGGAGACCGTGCGGCACCAGGAGAAGGCAGGTGCCACAAGGACCAGCCCGCCAGGCACCAGCCCGGGGCGGGGAGGTGCGCCATCCCCCCGCGGCCAGCCCAGCCTTTGTGCTCTGCCCTCCAGGTAATCGAGAAGATGGAGCGGGTGCTGGAGGACAAGCTGCGGGACAGGAAGGAGCCCCTGCTCAGCAGGCTGCAGGGAAAGCCCACCATCGGTGAGTCTGCTCCGCAGCTTTTGTCCCATCCCTGGGGGCCCGGCCTTCCTGGAGCATCGGCTTCAGGAGCAGAGCTGGGGCAAAGGATGCTGCCCCGCTACTGAGGCAGGCAGTGAGGGGCTCCCAAAGGTCCCCTGGGCTCCCTTCTCCTGCCAAGAAGCCCCTGGGGACACATGGGGACAGTGTGTGAACCAGGCTAGAAAGACAGCAGACCCTGCTCAGAGCCACAGAGAGGCCCTGCAGACTGGAGTGAGCAGGCAGGGGCTGCCCGGGCCCTTCTGGAACTTCCTTGTCTCCCCATTGTCTTCAGAATCCGCTTCTACAAAACAAACAGCACTTGTCTGTTTCCTCCACTGACGTTAACCAGAGCCACCTAGAAGGGCCAGTCTGAGGGGGCTCTGGGGGAAGGGGGGAAGAACCAGGTCCCGTCACCCCGGGCCGGCCCCGGGCAGAGGATTTCCCTGAGCCATGTGTGCAGCCTCGCCAGCCGGGAAGCCCCATGTGCCCAGCCCTGTGGCAGCCTTCACTGCAAGGGCGGGGGGGGCGGTGCATTTCGGAAGGCCTTTGGAAAACTGTGCAAGCTGGGGCTGCCTTTCAGGAACCCTGAGGTCATCCCAGAGTGGGATGAGAGAGGGGAAGGCAGCCTAGGGAGGGCAAAGGCCCAGGGAGTGACGATGGCAGGAGCAGAGAAGGGAGGAGAGGGAGAGGTGAAGAGCTAAAATCGACCCAGGACCAAAGGCCGGGGAGTGGTTATGGAGAACACAGGGGTCAGATTCTAAAGAGCCTGGGATGGGCTGAGGCGCGTGGCTCTGATTCCCCTGGCAGCAGGGAACCATTGAAGGCTTGGGAGCAGAGGAGGGGCAGAATGGAGCAAAATGCTGGGGCAGATCAGGCTGGGGGCAGGTGGGCAGGAAAGCCTATCTCACGAAGAGCTGTGGCCACGTCTGCAGCCTTCCCCATGCTCTCTGCCTCTGGCCGTCCCCCGGGGCCGACGGGAGAGAACCTGCCTGTGGACCTGTACTCAGTCCTGCTGGCAGAAAACTCCAGGCTGCGGGCAGAGCTGGAGAAGAACCGCCACCAGTCAGCGCCCATTATCCTGCAGCAGCAGGCGCTGCCGGTAAGAGCCGCCCCCACACGGGGCCTGGGCCTGCCTGAGCCAGCCGCCGGGCGCTCAGCAACTGTGCCCAGCCCAATCCAAGCTGAAGACCACAATCCCGAGCTAGGCTTCCCAGGGTCCCCGATGTGCCTGGAGACTCCTGGAGTGCCAACTCTCAGGCCCGCCTCTTTGCTCCTGGGGGACACACATGGGCCTGAAAGCTCCACCTTTGCCCTCCTCTTGAAGCCTGGGAGAAAGCAAGCCCCTAATGGCCCTTGACCTTTGATCCCTGACCCCTTTCTGCCACCTGGCTGGCCTGCACTTGGACTCCACACAGCCTCTCTGAGCTCCGTCCTGGAACATTTCCTGGGACTGGTACAGCCTTGGAGAGAGAGCCCTTTTCCCCCATCCCAGGTGGACCCCAGGGAGTTGGGAGCAGGAGGAGACCTGGCAGAGAGACTGCAAGAGACAGATGGCCCAGGCCAGTCCAAGGGCACAGAGGCCCTGCCCGCACAGGTGGGTGCCCCTGGCCCCAGAAATGCCTCGGCCCCGCTCCATCTCCAAGGCTGCTGCAGGCGCCCCTGCTTTACGCAAACCCAAAGACAAGACATTTGGAATTACGGAAGAGGGGTGGGCAGGGGACCCAGGAGGGTTTTTCTCTTCATCCCAGGACTTATAGGAGATGAGTTCTGTTTGAACGCTCCCCTGGTGCGTGGACATCCGGGTAAAGTGTGGGGACAGGGGAGCCCTCACTTTACAAAAAGACTCCCTGTTCAAGAGTCCTTTCTGTGAGCTAATCTGCCTGGTACATTTTACATTTAGAAAGTGATGTGCAGAAACTCCATATAACCAAATCTGTGGGGAGAAAGGTGGTGAAAAAAGCACCTGCCATCTCAGGTCAACCTCGGGAAAGAGGGTTTGGCCCTGGGTCTGAGGCTCTGCATTGGGGAGCTGAGTTGGGAACTCAGACCTGGCTGGTTTCTGCCTCAGTAGCTCACGGCCTCCTGAGCCCACACGGCTGCAGTCCCTAGTGGGAGCCAGGTGTGAGCTTCTGCTTTGCCCACAGGATCTCCTTGCCAGTACCTCAGACAAGTTCAACCTTCTGGCCAAGCTAGAACGAGCTCAGAGCCGGATCCTATCCCTGGAAAGCCAGGTAGGTGAGCCAGGCTGGCGTCAGTCATCCTGGGCAGGCTCACCGCTCAACAACCCTTGACCAGAGTCAGGCTCCAAGTGTGACCAGGGTTGTGGCTCAGTGTGTGCCCAAGGTCAGGGCTCAATATGTTGTTGGAACTCAAGGAGTGTCCATCTGTGCCTTAATCGGACTGTCATTTGGCCCCTCCCCCCCCACCCCTGGCATGCCCGATGTCTCCAGAAGGTAGTAGGCCCACGTTGCCCGGGCTCTGGTTGTCCTGCTTGCAGGGATGGGCCCTGCTGCCCAGCAGGTCCCTATCTGTCCCTCTCCGTGTCTGCAGTTAGAGGACTCGGCCCGACTCTGGGGACGCGAGAAGCAGGACTTGGCCACACGGCTGCAGGAGCAAGAGTACGGCTTGGGGCACCCCTCAGACTCCGTCATCACTGGCCTGCCCGTGAGTGATCTCTCTGGAGAAGCTCCGTGGGGTGCAGGCAGTGCGGCTGGCAGCCGCCATCCCCGACCCCGAGTCTCTGGGCCCTGAGAAGAACTGTCCAGAAGACCTGCGCTCAGCTTCTGCCCTGTTACCATCAGGAGCCCTGGCCTGGTCTCCATGCCCCACCTGCCCAAGGGGAATAGAAAGCCCCCCGAGACGACCCTTTCCCACGGGTGGTGGTGAGAATCCAGGGGACATGGCCGTGGATGAAGGGTTGCCCCTGCAGGCATTTCTGGAATGCTCTGGTCCTGGCTGTACTTTAGCACCGGGTTTGCTCCTGCGCAGAGTAGCTGTGGCCCCCACCCAAGTCCAGAGCCCCTAAGGCTCTCCCGTGAGCGCCCCCTCTTGGCCCCTTCAGTGCTGCCCACCTTCCGGTGATGGGGGCACGGTGCCAGAGAGAAAGGCTGCTGGCTTCGTCCGCACAAACAGGCCTGTTCACAGCTGCCCCTCAAGCTCGGCCCCAGGCTAAACAGGTTTGGAATCCTTTGTGAAGGCACGGCCCACTGTATTTGGGTCCTCCGAGGCCTGGCTTGCCAGGCAAGATGCACTCTGATGGGTCCCCTCACCGGGGCAGGGGCGTACTCACCTCCCTTTGCTTTGCATACCACAGAACTCCTTGGCCCATGCCAAGGACCACAGGCGACCCTCGAAGCTGGACCCTCTGATGCCCAGCTCGGAGACTAAGCTCAACAAGCCCTCAAACTCCGAAAAGACCTGAGTCTTAGCAGACCTGAGTAGCTGGAGCAGGCCTCCCTCTCTATGTGCTGGGGAGTCTCATTCCACCCCCCAGATGACTGTATTAAATGCCATAGGTCACCTCTTTCCTGGAGTAGGGCAGCCAAGGGGACCTTGCATTCACCTCTTTCCTGGAGTAGGGCAGCCAAGGGGACCCAGCTTCCTCCTGCCAGACCCCACTCTGAACCCAGGCCCTCCACTGCAGCGCTATAGTCTCCTGAGGCCTATCCCAGAAACTACCATTTTGGGACAGCCAGAGGTCATAGTGAACCCAGGAGGGTGGGGAAGAGGCCTTCCAAAGCAGGAACCCTTCCAGACCTCCAGAAGAAATGAGATGACCAGAGGCCAGCTCTGTTGGAAAATGTGAGGGAGGCTGGGACTTTCCACTTGCCCCCAGACATCTCATATCTGAAATCCCTTCTTCCAAGTTTGGTTTATCTGTTTCTCAGGAAGGGAAAGACTTAAAGCCTGCCTGTGGCAATCAATTACATATTAGTGTGAAATACCCCCATTTACCGGGCTAGGCTGAGCTGGCAATGTTGTGTCCAAATACAGCCAGGGACAGGAAAGCAGATGGGACCCGGGGAAGGAGCCCTCCGCTGAGAATCAGGAGGCCTGAATTCTAGCTGCAAGCATGCTGTGTGACCTTGAGTGACTCTAGCAACCTCTCTGGGCTTCCATTTCCCCATCTATCCCATGCAGAGCTTACCTTCTCTGATGGTAAGCCCCTTTCCAGCTCTAACATTTCTGAGTCAAAGACAACTTGGCCCCAGAGAAGAGAAAGGAAGCAGTAAGGAGAGAGAAAGCCAACATGAAAGAGGATTGTATGGTAGGGCAAGCAGAAAGGCTCCAAGAGTGGACTCAGAGCCTACAGATGCTGGTAGAAGAGACCAAGGCTGCAGGGCCACTGTCCTGAGCAGGATTAGCTCCCCTGTCTGCCTGCAGGACTTAGACCTGACTAGCAGAGGGCCAGAAAGGATCAGGCACCCGGTCAGATCAGGAATTATGGACTCAGAAGGGGTTAAGAGGGCTGAAATTGGGACCAGTGCCCGACAGTCCAAATAATGTACCAGACTCAGCCATAGTCTTCTTGCCTAGAGCTTGGGCAAGTGGACACATCTCCCTAGAACAGGAAGCTGAGGCCTGGGGAAACCCAGAGAAAGGTCAGGTGGGGTAAAGAAAGCACGCTGGCCTCTTATTCTCTAGGTCAGTCACCTCACACCAGACCCTCACTCACAGGCTTCGGCCCTAGCTTCCCCCAGATCTCTCACTGGGCCTTGGCAGGAAGTCCTCAAGACCCCACAGGGAACGCCCACCCAAGGTTCAGCCAATCAGGGCCTGGCAAGAGCCTCACTCCGGCGGCAGCAAGGAGGGCGACCCTACTAGCCCCTGAGCTGCTGTAGGTGTGTGTGTTGGGGGGGGGGGGTCCCAGCAGAGAGAGCTTCAAGCGCAGCTGCCTCAGGACCCCCATTCATGCTCAGATCCCACTGTTGACCCAGGCCACAGAGCATCTCCACAGGAGTGATGGCCACCTTGGGGGTCAGATAGAAATGAAAACACTTCACGTAGTTCAGCCATTTATTGCCTCCCTGGGGCAGGCGGAGAGGGGGAAGAGGTGGCGGGAAAGAGGGGCGCCCTGGCTGAGCTGGGGCAGCTGACCATTGAGCGCCAACTCTCTCTTCTCAGCGCTGGTCCAAAAGGAGCAGGGGAGGGGGACCGAGGGCTGACGAGCAGACACCACCAGGGGTGCCACCCCCTCGGGCCTCCCTCCAGCACCCCTGCTGGCTTGATGGGTGGCAGAGGCGATGCGCACCCTCTCTAATCACACCTGGGGTGGGTCCTGGCTGAAGGGCCTGAAGGTGAAGAAGATGGGCTTGTCGGGCATCAGGATGAGGTTGAATGTGGTGCCCACATCACTGAGATGTTGCATTTCAACTCTGAAGTTCTCCAGAATCTGAGAAAGAGGTGGTGGGCTTAGGGGAGAGATGGGGAGGGGCTGTCTCCCCCGGGGCCAGGCTCATTCACCTGTAGGTGTTGCCTGTTTTGCCTGACTCAAGGAGTTCTAAGGGCTCAACAGCCAGCTCCTATGTACCCGGCACAGTGCGTGAAAATACACCCCTAGTGCTTCGTCCCCTTGATTCACCTTAGCTTCTACAAAACCTCGTCCCACCCCACACCCATCCTGTCACCACTTGGAGGGAACAGATGGCCAGGGGACACCAATGGTAATAAGCAAATTAGCCCAAAAGAGGAGACGGCAGATTAGCCCAAAATTGTGGGGGAGGAGGAGGGCAAGTCATGCGAGACAGATGTCCCCAGCCTTGTACTCCCTGGGCTCTGGACAGAAGTGGGTGTAGGAGGGTCAGTGCCTTCATTCGGTCCACGGCCAGCTCAGGCTGCCCTGATGTCCCCGGCTGGACTCACGTGGATGAGGAAGAGGGTCATCTCGAGCTCAGCGATCCGCCGGCCCACACACTGCCGCACACCCCAGCCAAAGCCCAGGTTCCGGAAGTGGATGAGGTCCTTATCTTTACCCAGCCATCGGGTTGGGTCAAACTTGCCCGGATTGAAGAAGAAGGTGGGGTCCTGGCCCATGGCATAGGTGGACACCTGCACCAATGTCTGGGGACAAGGTGGGCAGAGGCCTGAGTATAGGCCTCATCTACTCACAGCCTGGAGCATGACTCAGCTCCCCGCTCCCACCCCCAGCCAGGCTGTCCCGCCTCCCGGCATAGGACGCTCCCTGCCGCACGACGTTGAAAAAGGCCCCACCCTCCCTGAGCCTCGCCCATCATGTGGACATGACCGAGGACTCAAGGCCGGGGATGGCCCCCGGGATTGTCTGCCTTTTGCTCAGCCCCAGGGGGCTCCTGAGACCCAGGCAGCCCATGGGGCCTCCCTCCTAACCTTGGACTCGGGCAACCTTCCAGAGATCGTCACCCACTATGTCCAGTACCCCTGCCCTTCGTTCACACTTGGACTGCTGCTGTCAAGGACCACACCAGCCAGCTCCAGGAAGAAAGAGGGGACAGAAACCCCCATCGCCACCGTCTGTGTGCAACTACAGTCCGCCCCCAGCCTCCTGTCTGACTGGCAGAGCTAGCAGCCCCCCCCCACACACACACGCTGCACCTACCTTGGCAGGAATCATGTAATTCCGAAGAATCAAGTCATTTACAAGGTATCTCTGCAGGGTCACGGAGATGGGGTGGAGTCTGCCAGAGGAAGGCATTCAGGAGCTGAAGCCCTGAGGCCTGGACACCTTGCATGGTGGCTCAGCCCCAGCTACTGCATCCCGGGGGGATTCTGGAGACAGAACCCGAACTCTTATTTCCTCCCTCCCCATTCCCAGCTGTCTGCCTGGACTTCTCGCTTCCTGCTACCAAGCCCCTCCCTCGTGCCCTGCCCAGGGATCTGGGGGATGAGGCGGGCAGGCAGGGAGGGTCGGGCTTGCCTCAGTGTCTCCTTGATGCTAGCTTTGAGGAGCGGGACCAGCTGCAGCATCGTGCTCAGGTTTCCCTGGGCCTGGCGCCGGGCCGCCAGGACCTCCTCCCGCAGCATCTCCTGCACCCTCAGGCTGCGTGCCATCTCGTAGAGGTGCCACTGCAGAGTCATGGACGTCTGGCAGGGAGTGTGGGGGGGTGGGCAGCAGAAGACAAGGAGGACCTATCACTCCTGGGGCCTCTAAACCCAGGCTAAATTTTCATTTCCAAGAATCTCTGCCCACCCTCATCCCTGTATCCAGAGACCACCATCCGCAAAAGCAAAACACAGTTCTAAAGGCAAGGGTCCAAAAAAGCCTTCCTCACCCCCCCAGGGCAGGCATGTCTGGGGCAGCACTTGTCCCTGTCCTCGTCCCTGATGTCACCAGAGCCCACCTGTTTCCCCAGCCGGGAGAGTCACCCATACAGCCAATGCCTTCTTCCAGAAGACCCAGAGGGCTTTGGAAGCCAAACCCTACTTCTGTAACGGTGGTACTCCCAAATGACTGCCATTCCATCCCTCTCCCGCTAGCCCTTCCCCAAACCTCAGCATTTGCCTGTGAGAGCATAAAATAAAGTGAGGCCCAAAGATACTGAAACCAGAACAGCCAGACCTGTTTCCCAACAGTGTCGCAATTAGAGTGTGCATATCCCGAGATGAACCAGGTCATCTCGCTATTAGCCAGAGGCAGTGACCATGCTGGAGGTATGAGGGTCACTCATCAAGCCCCACAGCCCCAGATTCTTCAGTGGTGGGACCCCAGGCTGAAGCCGCCTTCCTTCCTATGGCCAGGACATGTCATCTTACCAAGGATCATTTTTTTGTCCAAGAGGTTTGGACACTCTCCTTCTTCCTCCCAGCAGGAGCACTCGGGAAAAAATGCCATGTAGTCACCTCTCAGCTTAAAACCCTTACCTGGCCCCAGAA